CAGGGGGGCGGGGGAGGGGGGCGGCTGGGATGGTGTTGAAAATGTCCCATGTCTGAGCTGGTGGTTCCACGACTGTAAAATTTGTCCAAACTGACAGATGTGTACACTGAAAGTTTGAGTTTTACCATGTGTAAATTATATCTCAATAAACTTGACTTTAAAGAAAATGTTGAAGAATATTAAGCAGCCTGGGGAAATTTAAATGACCAGTTAAATGAGGAATTTGCAAGGTAGTGTGCACAATGTGAATGGAACTTGGTAGGGGGGTTACATCTTCAGAGAGTGACAGAAACGGGGTGGCCGTGGTGAGGTAGACTGGAAGGAACTACGCCAAAATGTATCAGTATCTCCCTCTGGAAATGAAATTAAATGTGGTTGACCCTTGAACGTGGGCGGGGGGAGGTTAGGGGTACCAACCCCTGCGCAGTGGAAAATCTGCCTACAACTTCTGACTCCCCCAAAACTAGCCTCCTGTTGACCAGAAGCCTTACCAATCACATAAACAGTCGATTCACACATATTTCGTGTTATATGTATTATATATACACTGTATTCTTACAATAAAGTAAGCTGGAGAAAAGAAAGTGCTGTTCAAAAAATCATAAGAAGAGAAAATATATTTACAGTGCTGTACTATTTTAAAAAACTTCCGCAGGTAAGTGGACCCACGGAGTTCAAACCCATGTTGTTCAGCGGTCATCTGTATTGGTTTGTTTCTTCACATTTTGTTTTTTGCTGGAAACAATTCTGTTCTTCAGACGCTCTGGGGCGCCTTTCTCTTTGTTCTTTGATGGAGCCCCCAAGCAAGAGGGAAATCACCACTGGGCCCGAGAGCCAGCAGAGGGGTGGGGTTGGGAGCTGGAGGGACAGACCAGCGGAGACAAGCAGAGGTGGGTGGAGCGGTGCGGGCGGGGTGGAGGGCGGGGTGGCAGGACGGTCCCCGGTTTTGCTTGGGCTGACAAGCAGGGGAGGGCCTGCCCCCCGAGGGGCGGGCGGTGTCCCCATTGGTTCGCCCAGGTTATAACACCCGGTGGAGCTTGGACGTTTCCTGAGCTGAGCTGGGAGGACGAAGACGTTTCCGTGATGCGTGAGTCTAGCTTCGTTTGGGGGGGGCGGGGAGGGCTGGCTGGTAGGCCTCCCGGTCCCCAACCCAGGGCGGGCCAGAGGGGTCGCTTCTTTCCCTCACTCCCTCCACCTACTAACTAGTTGACTCATTCTCTGTCTCTCTCCCCTTTTCGGCTCCCCAGAACGGGTGGCGGCGGGTGCTGTCTTGGGAGGAGGTGAGTTGCCCGGATCCCCTCCGTCGCCAGGGAGGGGACTTCGGAGGTGGGGCGCTGCTCCGGCTGGGAGGGCGGCCCGCCATCCTTCCGCTCCCGGGACTGCCCGGGTGGACCTCAGGGGCGGAGAGCCCCGCTCACAGTACTCGCCCTTAAGAGGACACCTGATCGGGGACCTGGCTGCTCCCCTAGTCCTTCTGTATAAGGAGCATGTAGAGATTTCTTTTGACCGTGGTGGAGGGGTGGGGTGAATACCGGGAACTGCAATGGTGTATCTCACCCCCCACATTTACACACACACACAGAAGCCCAGTGAGGGGCAGTGACGTCCCCGCGGTCGCGCAGCAAGTTAGAAACCCAAAAGGGGCCTGCCTGGGCCTCCTGTGACACCTTCGCCCCCACCTGGCTCCACATCCCCCCCTTTTCTCTTTGCCTTGGGACCCCCCCCGAGCGGTCTCCCGGATGCTCAGCGCAGACAGGCCCCCGAAACTGCCAAGGGGCTCCGGAGCGGTCCCTTGCCCTGGGCCCACGCCGCAACCCAGCTCCTCTTCCCCGCAGTGACGGCCGTAGCGGCCGTGCCCGTCGTGCTGGGCGCCGTGGGCTTCACCGGGGCCGGGATCGCCGCCTCCTCGCTGGCGGCCAAGATGATGTCCGCGGCTGCAGTCGCCAACGGGGGCGGGGTCGCCGCCGGCAGCCTGGTGGCCACGCTGCAGTCCGTGGGTTTGTTGGGGGACAGGTGGGGGGAGGGGCGGAGAGGAGGGGGGAGGGGGAGAAGAGCCAAGAGCGGATTCAGCGCAGAGGCTAAGCCTGAGGGACAGCCTGTCCTCTCCTTCCGCATTGCCGGTCCTTTGACTCTCCCCGACTGTCCTCTTTCTGGCTCCTTCTGAGTGAGGTCTGGTGGGAGTGGAGGGCTAAGGGAGCTCTGGGAGGGAGAAGAAGGGAAGGAGCCCAGGGCTCTGGGTACAGCCCTGCCCAGATCTGACACCTGGGTGGCCTAGGAGGGTCCCTTCCCCTCTGGGCCTCAGTGGCCTCCTCAGTGGCCTCAGTGGCCTCAGTAAGGTGAGGGGACCTGTCACTCTCAGGGTCTGTGGCTGACTGTCCTCTGTCTCTCATTCCTCCAGCGTCTTCTGCCCAAAGTGGAGCCCTGGGGGTTTCCAGAACCTAGAGGAGGGATCCAGGTCCCCAGGCCTCAGACCTCCAGGGGGGTGGGGGCCACTGGCCACTGCATGAGCCCGTGCGCACCCTCTGTCTCTTCCTCAGGGGCAGCTGGACTCTCCACGTCGTCCAACATCCTCCTGGCCTCTGTTGGGTCAGTTTTTGGAGGCTGGCTTGGAAGTTCAAAAAAGGCAACTTCTTCCTCCCCCCCAGAAGAACCCGAGGCTGAAGAGAAAGAGGCAGAAGAAAATGAATCCCAAGTTGAACCTCCAAAACCCCCAGTGGGGTCAGAGAAGCATGAGAAATAAAGATCATGTGCAGACACACCTCCCTGTCTTTGCTCCTTGCAGCCCTGTTGGAGGGGGAGGGGTAAGAGGGGGGGACTGGGGTTTTCCAAATCCCCCACCCTCCCAACCTGCCTTGTGGAGGGGGCCGGGGGGGGGCAGGCTGACAGAGCACAGACTCAGTTGGCAGGAGGCTTTGGTTGGTCCTTACAAGGGATGGGCTGTATACACCCAGGGTCATTCCTGGGCCTTCTGTAGGCCTCAGTTTGCCTCCTCATTCAGTGATGGGGTTGACAAAGGTTCCCATTGGGCAGCCGGGGAGAGGGGTAGCCAGGATACATATTGAGCCACTGACCCTGGAGCATGTCGCTCTTCCTCGTGCATGGACACTAGGCATCCCGAGACGAGTCACACACTGGCCTTTCCCTGCCTGACCTCAAGTCTGGTGGGAGGGTGGGGGCTGACAAGCAAACCACCAGGACAACATAGTATCCTGGATGTCACAGTGGAGCTCTGGGCACTTCCGGTCAGGGAGACTGAATCAGGGATGGTCACTCCACTGTGTCTGGAAAAATCCTCCACATCTTACTCTGGTAATAAGGGCTCTTGGTGTTCCCTATCTCTCCACTCATGTCCAAGGTGAGGGCTTATTTCCTGCCAGAGAGGTCTCATTCTCTGGAGTTCTTTGTCTGTTGTTTTGTCTTGTTTTTGCTTTTAAGGATGAGATATCACAGAAATAGAAATCCTAAAACTTCTGCTTACACTAGATGTCCATCAACAGATGAATGGATAAAGAAGATGTGGTATATATATACAATGGAATATTATGCAGCATCAAAAAATGAGATCTTGCCATTTGCAACGATATGGATGGAACTAGAGGGTATTATGCCAAGCGAAATAAGTCAATCAGAGAAAGACAATTATCATATGATCTCACTGATATGAGGAATTTGAGAAACATGTCAGAGGATCATAGGGGAAGGGAGGGAAAAATGAAACAAGACGAAACCAGAGAGGGAGACAAACCATAAGAGACTCTTAATCTCAGGAAACAAACTGAGGGTTGCTGGAGTGATGGGGGGTGGGAGGGATGGGGTGGCTGGGTGATGGACATTGGGGAGGGTATGTGCTATGGTGAGCACTGTGAATTGTGTAAGACTGATGAATCAGACCTGTACCCTGAACCAAATAATACATTATATGTTAATAAAAAAAAAAACTTCTGCTTCTACCCCAGTAGACAGTCTTGAGGCCTCTAGGGGCACCATCTGCATCTTGTAGACCCCTGTGGTTGCAGAAAGCTGGAGAGAGCATCATCACTCCCAACCTGCAACAAGAAAAATCCAGACAACCTACAAAAAGTGATTTTGAAAATGAATATAAAATAAAAACAAATGACTTTTCTTGAACCCCTAAGAGCTGAAGTGGCAGGCCTGCTGGGTGCTCCACTGAGAAAGACTGAGGCAGGTGGAAACCCCGAGAAAACTTCGCTTGCTGAGAGGAGATAGGGAGGGGAACTACAGCCCCACCTTCCTTCTCCCCTAGCGAACAGAAGCTTCGCGCTGCCAGGGGTAGGGCAGTAAGCGTCCCAGAGCACAGATGACAATCGCTGTAGATGAGGTGGAAGAAAGAAAAAACCCAAAACCTTCCTGGGCCCAGAGAGAATCCGCCCACCACTGGGGGAGGGGCAGGGCTATTGAGAAAACCCCATCCCCAGGCCTGGGCCCACAGTGCCCGCCCAGACCGAGGCTGGATGGGACCACGGAGAACTCCATTGCCACCCCCCCCCCCCCACCACCACCACCTGGCTAGTAAGTAACAACCAACAGACGTCTACACTGTTGGGTGGAGCAAGTGTGCGGAGACCTTCTCCAAGAGGCACACACCAAACGGAAGCCTAAAGCTGAAGGTGGAGCAGATATAGAGAAACCGGCTTCCACCGGAAGCGCAAGGTAATGTTAGTCAGAAGCTGATGGAACATTGATGGCAGCCATAGCAACCCCTAAATCCAAACCCAGCTCGACTCCCGGGTAAGACTGAGCTCCCACGTGCAGACCCGTTTCTTGACATAAACACTGTTTGCTTCCTTGTCTCCGCGGGGCTTGTGCAGCAGACCGACGGAGCCTCGCCTTGCCCATTGCCCCACCCCGTCCCCGGCACTCACTCTCCAACACTGCCTGCCCCTTATCGCCAGCACCCGTGACCCCGTCCCAGGCGACAGGACAGGCCGGAGGCGTCAGGGTGTTGGTCCCCACCCCCCAGAAGAGACCTCAGCCAATGATGGATTATAGTCGGCCATAAACACCCATCAGGTGGAATGACTCAGACCTGCCCCAGACTCCCAGAAATCTCTCTGGAGGATCAAGCCTCAGTTGCCCACAGGGCAAACTCACTCCTGAATGGATCCTTTCTTGGCTGCGTCTTTCCCCACCTCATCTTTCATTCCCTGTTGGTGCCCCCTGGGGTCACCTCCCAAACAAACCCCTTGGGCTCAAGTACTCATCTTGGAGCCTCAGCCCAAGACAACTTCCTGCCCTTTCCTCAGGCCCACCCAGGAGCCCACAGGGCTGAGCCCACGACAGCTGCAGCACCATATTAGATGGTTTCTGAAACTTGGCTGTGTTCAGGCCTTATCCTTCTCTCCTCTCAGAATGAGGCTCTAGGGTCTGTCTCACAGGGACGGCCCCTGGTCCGGACGCCAGCCAGGTCTAGACCTGTGGGCATTCCAGTAGAGAGCACAGCTCAGCTTTGAGGCTGGTTAAGGACTCTAGGATAAATCACTCAAAACAGTCCCTAAGTCTTTGCAATCGTCAGGAAAAAGCCTGGCACAATTTCTGTTTGAAAAATGTTCCTTTTCGATGACCTTTTCCTCCAGAAAAATCACTTTTACCAAAGACACTCGAGAGAGAGTCTGGCTGGGGCTGGCCCAAAGGTGGCTAAAACTGTTGAACTCTTCTAGCTCCTCACCCCCTACCCTGAATCTCTTCATCAATTGGTTCATTATGAAAATAATTTTATCTCCCTGAATATAGGCCAGCTGTTCAAGGAGGCAGCTGGGAGGGAGCTAGTGGGCAAGGAGCCAGTTGAAGGCTCCGAATCTGGAAATAAACCACAAAGCCAGCCATTCTCAGCCTGGGCAAACATGCCTATCTTCAATAGCAGCAAGAGTTAAGGACTTTGGGTCTTTTCTTAACAGGTTCTTTTTTTTTTTTTTTTTAAGATTTTATTTATTTATTTAAGAGACAGAGAAAGAGAGTGAGCAAGCACATGAGTGGGGTGGGGAGGGGCAGAGGGAGAGAGAAAAGCAGACTGCCCTCAGAGGACCCCGGAATCGTGACCTGGGCCAGCAGCAGACACTTAACTGACTGAGCCATGCTGGCGCCCCCCTTTTTTTTTTTTTTTTTAAGATTTATTTATTTGTTTATTTGAGAGAGAGAGAATGAGAGAGCACATGAGAGAGGGAGGGTCAGAGGGAGAACAGACTCCCCGCTGAGCAGGGAGCCCGATTTGGGACTCGATCCCGGAACTCCAGGATCATGACCTGAGCCGAAGGCAGTTGCCCAACCAACTGAGCCACCCAGGTCACCGGTGCCTCTTAATAGGTTCTTGCAATGAGGTCTATAAAACCGGGGCAGCAGCATTGCCTTTCCTGGAATGGTGTGTAGATTTTATGGGATGCGGCATGGGCAATGTCTTGACCCTAGGAGATCTGCTGTTGATGTTACTTGCTTTGATCCCCCTGTTCCGGCACTTTTAGCTTTGCTCTGTGGGTATTCAGGGTGCTTTAGCGCCATCTCAGAAGTTTCTGTGGGGATTCAGGAGGACTGTGGCAGGGCTCCCTTTCTTCTCAGACCCAGACGGGGTGCTGATGGAAGCCATAGAGTGGAGCATCCCTCCTGGGCCAGCCACCCTCCCCTCACCTCAGGACTCCTTTCTGTACCTACTGTTTTCCACACTCTCAGACCAGCCACTGTGGTCCCCCTTGGGTCCCTCTGCTCTCAGGTGGGGAAACCAGTGACGACGCTGCATTTGCGTCAGAAGGTGAGTATCTCGGGGCTGGGGGTGAAAGGAGAGAGAGGGCCAGAGACATCATTTCCCTTTTGTGTCTGAGCCTGATGATTCATTGATGTCTCATGTCAGGCTCTGCGGCAGGAGTGGCTCTTGTCAACTCGGGACTGTACTGGGATCTGGCTGAGCCTTTTTTTTTTTTTTTTTTTAAGTTTCTTAAGGGTGGGGTAGAGGCAAAGAGCAAATCTTAAGCCTTGGTCTCACAACCCTGAGATCATGACCTGAGCTGAAATCAAGAGTCAACTGCTTAACTGAGTGAACCACCCAAGCGCCCCTGGCTGAGCCTTTCAATGAGCACCCCTCCCCCCAGGTGTCAGAATGGGAACATCTCTTGGGCAGGTAAGAATCCTGAGAAGAATCCTCCTCCCTTTGTTCTGGCTGTTGTAACCTGGCTGCCAGCGCTCTGGGCGCCTATTGATGAAGAACGGGGGTCTCTACGCTTGGATGGGAACTCTTCATTTTTTAGTATGAAGCTTCTGCTCTCAGCTGCATCAGGTGCCCCTTGTCCCAGAGACCCAAACCTTCCAAAAATAAAGTGCCAGTTGTCTGCTCGAGGGGACCCCTGGGGATCTGCCTCGTTCCTAAACAGATATATCCAACAGACTTGTGCTGGTCCACCCCAATGCCTCCCTCCAGGAGTGGAGCCCTTGGGGGTCCTCCAGAGGAGAGCTGTCGCTTTCTCCCCTTCTCCACTGACAACTTAAGATTCAGCTTTCTTGGGACTGCTCAGTGGAACCATGTGCCCATGTGACTTCTGGCTCCCAAAGTTGTGTTCCTGTCATCTTCTCTCTCCTTCTCTTTGCCCACGTGGTGCTAAGCCTCTTTAGTCCATTACTATTATTGTAGTGATGTATGGAAAAGGACAGGTAAATGCAACCCTCTGTTGGACCAATTCCTCTATTGCTCGACATCAAGATCCCCTACTGTGTTCGTTAGAATATGTCAGCTTGCTGTGAAAGAGACCCTCTTGG